TTTCCCATTTGTGGTGAAGGAACCAGCCAAGAAATCAAGCAAGAATAGGCAAGCAGGGACTCTTTTCACAAAAGCAATAAAAATGTGAATAAAGATGCAATCAGAGAAATGCTCCTCAACAAAGTCATACCATCCATCATTTCAAAGTGGCCCTCATGCATGGATAAAAATATATGCATACAATGGGACAATGCAAGGCCACACAAAATCCCCCAAGATGAGGAGTTTATGGCAGCAACAACACAACAAGGGTTCAACATCACAACGCAGTACCAACCCCCTCAATCCCCTGATCTTAATGTTTTAGATTTGGGTCTTTTCAACACAATCCAATCAATTCAATATGAACATTTTCCAACCAATGTGGATAAGTTAATTGAGAAAGTTGAAGAGGCATTTGCTACATTTGATGCTAATGCAAACAAATACATTTGGCTGTCATTGCAAAGCTGTATGACTAAAATTTTGAAGAAAGATGGTGGGAACAATTACATATTGCAGCATATGTATAAAAGAGTATTGGACAGACAAGGCATTCTTCCAGAGAGGTTGGAAGTACCATATGAATTGGTTCAATCTGCTGTGAAGTACCTGAATGATAGGTTCAGGCCTTCACATCAACAACCACCAGTTAATGATCATGAAATGGAAGTTGATGCAGATTAGGAAATTTCAGTGTGTGTAAAGTGCAAAGTAAGTTTTTGGATTTAGGGCCTACAATCAGACTGCCACACATAACCATATGTAAGGGACTCAAACACACTTGTGGTTATGTGTAACTTTTGAGTAGTTTTTTTTTTTTTGTCCTTTTTTTCTTTTATGTGTCAATGTATTTCATGTCAGGCAGTTAGAATAGGTCCCTTTTGTAAGGCAACTATGGTGTATCACTTGAAAAGAATGAATCATTCAATGAAAAACTTTTGAGTTGCTAATGTTATTGCATTGTGTGTTTCAAATAAGGGTTCAAAAACTATGGTTTCAAAAATTCCATCAGATGGTTTACACTTTAATCACCACATACAAACCAAATATGTTTACCTCAACACCAATGTCATACAACATAGGTGGAGCAAATCCATAAGCTGTTGTCGAGCCTACCAAAGATAAAAACCTAACTTGGTCTCTCTAATGGGTAGAAAAGGTAAGTAAGGGTCGATCCCACAAGGACTAAGGGGAGCACTAACAAATATCGATTTGTGATAAGCTAAGTCAACTCTTTTTGGGTTATGAGTTATGAAGAAAAACTACAAACAATAATAAAGAGGATCTCGGGAAGGTATCCACCAATTAAGTCGTTCACAAACTACAATTTAACATACAAGACATAGCAATTTGGGGATAAATTAGGGGAAGTCATCTAAGGCACCCAACTACTCTCTCAAGCTAGAGGGATTACTTGAATCATAAATACAACCTACTCTCGTGGTTACAAAGCATTAAACAAGTGTTAAAGCATAATCACGATGACATAAACATTCCCTTGATCGGAAATTCCTATTCTCATGGCATTTCGGGTCAATCAAGCATAAGGGAGCTAACTCAAGTTCATCTCTCGATCCTTCGTTGAGAAAGCTTAGATAAATAGTTCTAGCAATGGCCACTTACAAGAACTAACAATGAAACCACTTAAGCTCAACTAATTAACATCCCACATTAGCTAAATCAACACATACAAACAAGTATTTCTGAATTCATCAATGATTTCAACAATCCCAAGTAAAAGAACTACTCACAAATCATAATAAATTGCAAAACTAAAGGAATTAACAACTAAGAACATGAAACAAACACTAATCTAACATAAACAAGTAATTAAGGATGAAAAGATACAAAAATAAGTAAATAGAATAACAAAATAGGAGAGAGAGTAAGAAATTCTCATTGATATTGCAAGGAGTATCCAAATCTTCAAGTCTCCTTCCTTCAATTCTTCATATTCCAAGCTTTCAACAAGATTTTCTCACTTTCTCTCTCTAGAAAATGAGATTTTCTCTCTCTAAAAACCCTAACCTAAGCTAAAAAAAAACTAAGAAGATCCCCCCCTTACAAATGAAGCTAAAGGGATATTATATAACCCCCAAGTAAAAGGACGGAGAAACCAAGAATCGGCCCGTCTACAGGTCGACACGGACGTGCCAAAGGTTGCACGGACGTGCAGACCTGTTAAAATGAGAACAATAGCTACTGCCTGACCTTGCACGGACGTGCATCAATTGGCACGGACGTGCAGCTTTTTCTGGCGAAACAGCTTCATTTCGAAAGGTCATAACTTCTTCATTACTCATTGGAATAAGGCATGTAAGCAGTCGTTGGATAGCTCTTGAGATGAACTTTAATCTCCAATTTAAATCACTTCAAAAACTTGAGTAGAAAAAAAGTTATAGTCATTTGAAGTTGACCTTAGTGAAAAAATCCTTCCAAAACCCTTCCAAATGCTCTTATTTCACTCTTGTACACTTTTCCTTGCTTCTTTCATTCTTCCATAGCTCCCTTATTTCCTCTTCTTGTCTCCAACTTCTTTTCTTCTTTGTCCAAAAGCTTCAAAGTGCCATATTTATACCTAAATATGCACCAAAACACTAGCAAACCCGTGAAGCATATGATACACAAAAAATGCATAAAAATAGAGTAATTAGTGAACTAAGAATTGATTTCCCACAATTCTAAGGCTCAAAATCACTTTAAAATCATACAAAATAACAAGTAATCAATCATGTGAGTCCCTTCATCATATGGACCACACAATGCACACCTAAATGAAATGAGGGGGACTCTATACATAGGATCCAAAAAGACTCCAATTCAGTGGAACATGATGCACACATAGTGATCTCTCAATAGTGATCATTGAGATCACAACCCAAAAAAAACATAAAGTCATCATTCACCCATCAGCAAACCCTTCAAACAACTAGGGACTCAAAACGCAACCACAGGCAACAGGGTACTCACAACACCATCAACAGGATACCAACAACATTAGCAACAGGATACCAAAAAAATAAACAAGGTACCAACAAAATCACTTATCCATCCTTGATTAATATGAGACCTTGATTAAACTTAGAATAATCTGAAAATAATCACTTAGAGCAACATAAGCATCCTTGAAAATAATCACTTATCCATCCACAAATAGGCTGTTCTCAAAAGACACCCTGCTACTACTTGCAAAACAATCATGCCAAAGGCAAGTAAGAAAATTCTAGGTGACTTCAAAGACAATCTGACAAAGAGCACTTCACACCCCACATCATATAAAACATACACTCCTTAATAAATTCCAACAATGGATATTTCAACCAATTAACACCAACACAAACCAATTTCAGCAATTATATGCGCTGCACATTAAAATAAAAAGAAGATTAAGGTTAAGAAACGTTACGCTGCACGCAATCAGTTGGAGGGATGAAATTTGCGGTCCAGATCTTTTACAAATTCAAGGAGACAAGGATCAAATTTCTCCTCATCAACGGCAATCCCAGATCGGACCCTCTTGGACCTGAGTTTGGCCTCTTCAGAAGGGAAAATCATATTGGGGGGAGGGTCGGACAATTTGAAGCCGTACAACTCTTCTTCCTCCGGGGTTTCATCTGGTTTTTCAGCCACCGTTGAAGTTTCATCTTCTTCAACTAGTTTCGCCCCTTTTCCCCTTAATCTCCTCATCACATCAGAAGAAACCCTTTTCAATTTTTTAGCCTTAGGTTTTGGCCTAGGCAAAGTCTTCATCCAAGCACGGTACTCAGCATCGGTCATATCATCCACACCATTTTCGTCGTAATCAATTGATTTAAGGACCGTACCAAGAGCCTCGAAAGATTTATCGGATAACACCTTCTTAGCTTCCTCAGATTTGTAAAAACGCTTGGGTGAAGAAGATTTACCCTCCAATGACTTCAAAAGTTTCGCTAGGACCTTCGTTTCATGGTCGTCCTCACTTTCGAAAAAGGCATCGTACATAGGGGTAAGATCTGCCATTTTTAGGGACTCAATTTCAGATCTGAGTAAGAACAGGGAAGAACGAGTTATGTATTTAAAGAGTGAGAAAGGAAAATGAAAGAGTTTGAAAGAAAATTGAAGAGTGAGAAACGAAATGGGTGGAGAAGACGAACAGTTGAAGCAAATCGGTGAGAAGAGGGAGAAAGAAGGGTTTCTGGAATTTTGGGGAAAAACTTAGGGTTTGTTGAATGTGGGATGCAAATGGGTTTTGACGGTTGAATTCGATTTTGTTAGGTGGGGATGAATTAATTTTGGTGGGAATGATTAAGTATGATAAGTTATGTTATAATTTAAGTAAATCTAATTATGAAAACTGATTGTATTTAGTGAGAGTAAAGTGAGGGCAGAAATGTAATTTCACTAAAAAAACTTACTCAAAAAGGAAATTTATCAATTGTTGCACATAATGTGAAACATCCGTTTTTGGTGATTGTTGCAGATAATGCGTGGCGGAGGAAGTATTTGTTGATTTGCAATGATTTTCCTTTACACACATAATGTCATAATATTATTGTCATCACAAATATTTTTTTGAGGAAACACAATACACATACAATGTACGGAGTATATGTACTCCGTAGTATTTTTTTTTTTTTTTTTTGAAGAAAGTACTCCGTAGTATTAAACATACAAAATGCGCAATCTACGGAATATTATACAATTATACGGAGTAAATTGAAAAGATTGTCATAAAAATTTAAAGATATTTAACATCATTTAAAAGGAACAAAATAAAGATATTTACATCATTTAAAAGGAACAAAATAAATATTGTGATACATTTTCTTAACCCACAAAAAAGTCAATGCAAATAATTTGTTTCCATTAATTTACAGCCAGCAACAGAAATTACTGTCAATGATGAACCAAATATAGCCTTTATTACAATGATTACGTTGATTATGATACTTTGATTTTAACCCACATTAAATGTCACAAATTGCGGTCCAGATTAAAAGAATTATACTGTAATTTATCCTTTTATGTCGATTACATCCTCTCAAAACCAACTCATTATCAAATTTCCAATTACATTAAACCAACATTATTACAATTATTTCCTCATAAAATCATATCAATAATTATAATAACCATTTTCATCCAATCATAATCCTACCACATGAAATCCAATGTTCCTTTTTTATATATCACATCAATTCATAAACCCATTACATTAACACAATTTTACTACAACTAAAATTAAAATTAAATAAAAATAAAGAGTCAAAAAGGGGCCCACCTACTCTAAACTCCTCCTAATAAAATTAAAATACTCTTAAGCATGCCTTAAGATCCTCAGCTTTTTTTAAAAAAAAAAAAAAAATTCCTACCAATCAGAAACTAAAGTTTTTTTTTTTTTTCAAGTTAACTTTAATTAAAAAAATAAAAATACCCAAAATAAAATTAGTTGTCATCACAAGAATTTACCCCCTTTTTTTTTTTACTTTTTCTTTAACTTTTTTTTTTTTAATCTAAAGATTCAAAAGGCATGTAAAAACAAACACAACTACACCATCATTATCATCATCACCATTTTTCCTCCCACAACAAATTTACAATTCTACCCCCACCCAAACCCTACGAAATTACCATTATACCCCTCAAGACTTCCTCGGACGACCTCTACCCCTCTTCACACCACCAATCCCGGCCCCACCAACACTAGTCACACTAACTTCCGAAGGATTCTTCCTTGGCCTGCCACGTGGCCTACCAGAAGAAGGCGGCTTAATGGGCTGAGTCACAGGAGCAAGTGGGTCCCTCTCCTTAGCTGGCCTACCCCTGGGCCTAACAGGCTGGTTTGGGCCCGGCCCAGTAGGAGTGTTTCCCTTGGGCTTTGGTGGGCGCCCACGTCCTCTCTTTATGGACTCACTAAGCCCATTAGTTGGCTCATCATCAGCTAATTCCTCTTCCTCTTGTTGCTCATCATTGAGAATATAAGTGTCATCTTTCAACATCATGAGTTGACCTGTTTGTCTCAGCTTTTCCAGCGTGTGCCCCACATGCGTCGCGTGAATCGGTGGCAGATCTGCATAGTTTGACTCTATGTAGTTCGTTATCGCCTCTTTACTCGCACCTTCCTTCTCGTTTAACCTTTCTATTGCCCCCATTATCATCTACAACAACAAAAATAATCAACACCAAATTAATCAACAAAAAATACCAAAATTATAAATTAAAAAAAAAAATAAAAAATACATGAAATTGAATCGTTTTTACCTGGGGGTAATCTGGGAAAGAAGGGTGATGATCTTGGAAAGCCATGATTTAGGAGGAGAGAGAAAGTATGGAGGAGAGAGAAAGTGGAGTGAGAGAGTGAGTGAGTGAGGAAATAAAGGGGGTGAATAATATTTATATTTATAATAAGGGTATTTTGTTTGTAAGAAGATTAGATGGATTAGGATGGGAGATCGGACGGTTAGGGGAGATGAAAGGGAGGGAGATCGGACGGTGGAGAAGAGGGGGAAAATGGGTTGACACAGATTGATGACATGGCATTGGAGGGTAAAGAAAAAGTTGTCCAGGTGGTTGTTAAAGGGGGGGAGTTTTTGAAATTGAAAAAATGAAAGAAATGAGATGAGAATATGAGATGATCATGTGCAATGTGGGGCCATTCATTTTATGAAAACTGGTTATTCATGCTATTATGGGTTGTTTTTTACTCTTCTTTGTCTTTTTGGATTTTATTCAACTTTTTTGGTTTTTGTTTTTTTTTGTGTTTTTAATTAATTACTTCAATAGTCTTGTTTATTACTACGTGTTCGTTTTTCGTTTTTTTTACGAAAATTAAGAAAAGTTGATAAGGTTAAAAATTATGTGTGAAGTACATTCAGGATCATTACAAAATATACTGTATTTTGTTTTCTGTTTGACTCAACAATGCGAGTAAGTAAAAATGCACTTAATTGGCCTTGTTGATTTGTGCAGTTATTACATGTTGATATCGACTTTAAAGGATGATTATGGAATTTTAGTTTGAATATAAGGAAATTTTGCATGAAACAAGATTTGAAATAAGCACAATGTTATGGCCCTTTTGGGTCACCAAATAAAGAATGCAGACACGCAGTAAAGTGATAAAGTGAGTAGTGTTTACGGTATTGGATTTTGTCTGCAACTTGTTTAAAAAATATATATTTAAAAAATAGCATTGACTCATGTCAAATTTGCATGTAGTTGGGTTGGTAGTGCCCCGGCTACTCGGCATGCTGATTGTGGGTTGTTTATTGTCGCATGTTCAAATGGATTCCTCGTGCCTATATATGGTTTATTGGCCAATTGTCATGTATATAGTGAGTTTGTTTTTATTGATTTCAGTTGATGTGTCTGTTGTGCCTTTCCAACATAAACAACAAAGGAAAAAATTATTTAACATGCTACACAGTAACTTGTGGTGATGTGCACTTCCAAATTGGCCTGGTGTTTTTGATCTCCGGCTTAAATGATTTGATTAGGGTTGCATAAGGAATGTTATGCATCTGCAATAACTAATATTTGACACAATTAACACATAGCATCTTTAGCTGGATGAAGATAGTGTTAAGAAAATAATGCAAATTTTCTATTTAATCAAATTTGAGGGAGAAATAAATTACATAAACAAAATGTCTATTTATACCAAAGTGCAAAAAACACAACCCCTCTTTTCTCTGAGTTATTTTTCTTCTCTCAGATTTTCTCTTGAAAATTATTACATACAAATGAAGGAAATGCTCAATTTATAGTTTTTCCTAAAACAACCTAAGCCATTTAAAATTTAGCCTGCAATATTTATTACCATTAGTTATTTTTCCCTATATTTGGAAACACCTTTAATTTTCAATGGTAATGCATGGTTATTTAATAACCATTTATTTTTTTTTCTTTATGTTTCTTAATTATCTGCCAACAATCTCCCACTTGAAGACTGATTTCAATCTGTCTTCACACCAAGGAGTAGAACCTCAACTAGTCTTCTGTCATTTTAAGACCAATTGATGTTGAGCACAATTTCAACTTGTCAATCGTCACTGTTTTCGTTAACATGTCTGCTGGATTCTTACTGCCAAGAATCTTTTTAAGAGTTAACACTTCATCTTCTAGAAGAGACCTGATAAAGTGATAACGAATACCGATGTGCTTTGTTCTTGAGTGAAACGCCGAATTCTTTGCTAAATGAATAGCACTCTGACTATCGCTATACAAAATATTATTCACTTGTTTGAACCCCAGCTCATCTAACAAACCTTAAAGCCATATCATCTCTTTACTAGCTTCGGTCACTGCCACATACTCAGCTTCTGTAGTGGATAAAGCAACAATCTTTTGTAGTTGGGACATCCAACTTACGGCTGTATTTCCAACTGTAAATACATAATCCGTTGTGCTCTTTCTATTATCGACTTCACCGCCAAAGTCTGCATCAACGTAACCTTGTATTTTCAATTCACCTTTACCAAAGTACAAACACTTATTAATTGTACCTCGTAAATACCTCAAAATCCATTTAACAGCTTCCCAATGGACTTTTCCTGGATTGGACATAAACTTGCTTACAACTCCCACTGCATGTCCAATATCTGGTCTTGTACAAACCATTGCATACATCAAACTTCCAATAGCCGAGGCATAAGGAACCTTGGCCATATATTCTTTATCTTCATCTGTCTGAGGGGACTGATCCTTTGATAGACGAAAATGACTCGCCAACGGTGTACTAACAGGCTTAGCATCACCCATATTAAATCTCTGAAGAACACGTTTGATGTACTCTGATTGTGATAACTGCAAAGTGCCTCTCTGCTTATCTCTTGTGATTTGCATTCCTAAAATCTTCTTTGCTGGACCCAAGTCCTTCATGTCAAATTCCTTTGACAATTGATGCTTCAACTTTATAATATCATTCATATCAGAACCTGCTATTAACATATCATCAACATAAAGTAATAGGATGATATAACTGGGTTGATATCTCTTGAAGTAGCAACAGTGGTCAGCGTTGCACTTCTGGAAATCTTCCTTGTGCATGAAGTTATCAACTTTTTGTACCATTGTCTTGGGGCTTGTTTTAGCCCGTATAAACTTTTCTTAAGTTTGCATACCATCTGCTCTTTCCCACTTTTTATAAAACCTTCTGGCTGGTGCATGTATATTTCTTCATCAAGATCTTCATGAAGAAATGCAGTCTTCACATCTAACTGCTCGAGATAAAGATCTTCAATTGCAACAATACTCAACACTGTTCTAATGGTATTGAGTTTCACAACAGGAGCGAATATCTCATTATAATCAACTCCCTCTTTCTGTTGAAAACCTTTGACAACTAGTCGAGCCTTATACCTCTTGGAATCATCGTGCTCCTTTTTTGCTCTATATATCCATTTGTTATGAAGGGCCTTCTTACCTATGGGTAACTCAGTTAGTTCCCATGTCTGGTTTGAAATCAGGGATTGCATTTCATCTTTCATTGCAAGCCCCCACTTTCTAGCATCTCTGGTCTGGGATGCTTCATAATAATCTTCTGGTTCCCCATCATCAGTTAATAACAAATAATTCATATATTTTCTATTAGGCACACGTGGTCGAGTACTCCTTCTTAGTGTAGGAGTTGGACAAGAAGGTTGTTGTATGTCATTTGATTGCGATGTACTGCCCTTTACAGTCTGTTCTTCTTGTTGCGGAGTACTTATGATAGTGTACTCTTGCATCGTACTGTCTGGGACATAATCTTCATCAATGAATGTAGATTCTTTTTGATTTGTTTCATAACTCTCAATTTTATGCCTATCTTTGTACATGACTCTCTCATTGAAAATTACATCTCTTGAACGAATAATCTTTTTGCTTTCATCATCCCAAATGCGGTATCCGAACTCATCTTCGCCATAACCGATAAAAGTGCAAACTTTTGATTTAGGATCAAGCTTATTTCTGCCTTGATCACTAATGTGCACATAAGCTACACAACCAAATACCTTTAAGTGCGACAATTTGATCTCTTTGCCGCTCCATACCTCCTCTGGTAATTTGTACTCCAATGGGGTTGATGGTCCTTGATTGATCAAGTAAGCTGCTGTATTGACTGCTTCTGCCCATAATTGTTTTGGTAGACCTGACTGTATACGAATGCTTCTGGCTCTTTCTGTCAATGTTCGGTTCATCCGCTCAGCTATGCCATTATGCTGAGGCGTAGCTGGCACAGTTCTTTCCATCTTAATATCATGCTCGTAGCAAAACTTCTTGAATTTGGTGTCCTCATATTCTCCGCCATTGTCGGACCTGAATCTTTTGATCTTCAGACCTGTTTCATTTTCAACCCTAGCTTTCCATATCCTGAAAACTTCAAACACTTTGGACTTGTATTTTAGAAAGTAAACTCATACTTTCCTAGAGTGATCATCAATAAAAGTCACAAAGTACTGTTTTCCACCTATAGACTGGGTGGTTGTTGGTCCCCACACATCAGAATGAACAAGCTCCAATTTTTCTTTCATTGGAGTTCTTCCATATGTCTGAAAGCTTACCCTCTTCTGCTTTCCAAGTATGCATTCTTCACACATGTCTAAATTCACAGATTTTAGAATAGGGAGTTTTCTAATTGAATGCATGATCTTCATTCCATTCTCACTCATGTGACCAAGTCTTTGGTGCCATAACTTGGAATTTTCATTCTCTGTTGCAACTGCAATCGAATAACACGCTCCAGCTGTCAAATAGAGAGTACCATTCTTTTTACCATGAGCAACTATCATTGCTCCCTTTGAAATCTTCCAATTATCACCTTGAAAGATTATAGTGTAACCTTCACGAGCCAACTGCCCAACTGAGATCAAGTTCTTTCTTAGGTCGGGAACATGTTTGACATCCTTCAGCTCCCAAGCTGACCCATTTAACTTAATTTTGACATTACCTTGACCAACAATATCACAAGGTTGGTCATCACCAAGGTATACCTGTCCAAGGTTTCTATGGACATACTTCTCAAAAAAGTTTTTATTAGAAGTAGTATGGAACGATGCTCCAGAGTCTAATACCCAAGACTCTTCTTTGCTCTCCAATGAGCATATCAACGCATCATCACCTTCTCCGGTAGAAGTGACATTTGCCTCTGCCTTCACTTCTTTGCCTTTTGGTGTTCCCTTGCACTGATTTTTATAGTGCCCAATCTTTCCACAATTCCAACACTCCACAGTCTTTGAGTTTTGGAAATTATTTGGATTCCTGGATTTTGACCTCCTATCTCTGGATTGTCCTCGATAGTTTGATCTTCCGCGTTCATTCCTTCTGATTAAATTTCTTCCTCTTGACTCTGTATGCAATACTGAAGAGGATGAAGATTCACCTGATTCTCTTCGTCGAATCTCCTCACTAAGAACCAGATCACGAACGTCATCAAACTTCAACTTGTTATTTCCCGATGAGCTACTCATAGCTGTGACTGTAGCATTCCAACTATGTGGCAGGGAAGATAAAAGTATTAACGCTAATACTTCATCATCAAATTTGATTTCAACAGAACTCAATTGGGTTGTGACAGAAATGAGTTCATTAAGGTGTTGAGCTACCGATCCACCTTCGACATCCTCAAACTAAACAACCGCCTCATCAAATGAACTTTATTGGAGGCTGATGGCTTCTCATACATATTAGAGAGAGCTTTCATGAGACCTGCCGTTGTGGTTTCCTTTGCAATGTTAAACGCCACATTGCGTGATAACGTCAATCGAATAACTCCGAGTGCTTGTCTATCTAAAAGCTTCCATTCTGCTTCTTGCATGCCATCTGGCTTTTTCTCTTCCAGAGGTTGATAGAGTTTTTTCTGGTATAAATAATCTTCAATCTGCATTTTCCAAAATCCGAAATCTTTACCATCGAATTTTTCAAGTTTAACTTCTCCTTTGTCTGCAGCCATTTCTCCCACTCAAATTTGACTTTTTCTTTTAGGATCGTTTTTATTTTTATCGTAATGTGGACTAATTGTCAACCAAGCTCTTGATACCAATTGTTAAGAAAATAATGCAAATTTTCTATTTAATCAAATTTGAGGGAGAAATAAATTACATAAACAAAATGTCTATTTATACCAAAGTGCAAAAAACACAACCCCTCTTTTCTCTGAGTTATTTTTCTTCTCTCAGATTTTCTCTTGAAAATTATTACATACAAATGAAGGAAATGCTCAATTTATAGTTTTCCTAAAACAACCTAAGTCATTTAAAATTTAGCCTGCAATATTTATTACCATTAGTTATTTTTCCCTATATTTGGAAACACCTTTAATTTTCAATGGTAATGCATGGTTATTTAATAACCATTTATTTTTTTTCTTTATGTTTCTTAATTATCTGCCAACATATAGGTCAATTAATTGTCAAGTTATCCTTTAAAATTTGGAAATTTATGCTATATTGTATCTCATGCACGGTGAATTAAGTTAGTCCGCTGTGATGATTTAGTTAGGTAAATAGGTTAAAAGTGTGACCTTAGACATATCTTTAAGGCATACAACTTTATATTGGTTAATTTGAATGGAATTGAGTCCGAATTATTTCTCGTGCAGGGTAGCCAAATTTATGCTATATTGTATCTCATGCACGGTGCGTGGCCAAATCTATGCTAAATAGGGCTATTTATTATTAGTATTTTAATTTTTTATGTTCTTGACTCATTTAGGGAAATCAATGTGATGGATTCGAGGCTAAGTTAATTTAAAACCTTAAGCTACATTCCACGTGTATTTTGCTATAAGTATGATATATTAACACTAATTTTCTTTTAGTAATAATCATAGGACAATATTATAGATACGCATTAATTAATTAATAAAAACATACTCTATTATTCTAAAACGAGTATTATCTATCAATAAAGTGGTACTACATATCCCGTCAAAAAAAAAAGAAAAAAAGTGGTACTACATATTATTTCCTTACTTGTATCGTGGTTAATTTAATTATAGCCATATTAAAATTCATTAAAATCTGTCAAGTGGTCCGTTTCAGATTACAAACATCAAACACCACTATTAAGTATACACATCATCAAACTCATTGACGTATCTGTACACAATCCAATAGAGAATTCAATTACGTTACATTCAACTATCATATAGAAATCAACTCATTGGGCGTGCAAAAACTAGCCAAATAGATAACATAAACTAGCCAAATAGTTAACGCCTTTGAAAGTAATTTAGCAATTACAATTATCCAGATAATTCGTCTAGTCATTTTAACATCATAACCAAAGAAAGGTGGAGGAAATCTCCATCTAACTATATTGTTGCATTATAAGGTTGATTTCACCTATTAGGCGGACATATATATGCTAGATTGCAATTTGTTCAGGGTTTTCAACTTTTCAAGACATGACCTCCACTTTGATTTTTGGGTTTAATTTGCAAGATTCGAGGTGGCCTAGGTATCACTTGTGTGCGCCACGCTAGGTTTTGATCTACATTAGGGAGAGTCAACACATATGAAAAGATATTAGGTCGTAAAAGTCGTGTAACTAGAGTAAGAATGAACAATTATCTCCGACAAGGTCTCTTTTGCTATGTAAGAGTCATATATATTAGTCCAATAACATCCTTTTAATTCTTCTTTCCTTCCAAAATGGTGGGTTGATCAGCTAGCTATTTACTTTGATCTAATCTAGGTCTAAGATGAGCTATTCATTCATATATTTTTTTTTCTTTTCTTTTCCGAATGATCCTTTTTCTAGGCTAAATGACTATATCACCATTAGGATATTAGATGACGGCTTTCATTCAAGTCTAGTTTGCTAATCTTAACTTAATTTTATTACACTTGATTTTTGTACACTGATTATTACGACCTAGCTACAAGTTTATTCGAGATTCACAAGTCATGACACATCATGAGAAAACTGGCTCGAGTCATTAAGCCAATCATCAAGTCCACAATATAGCTCAAACTCCAAAACCCTTCTACCATATGGGTGGCTAGCCTAGCGCACTTGACCATCTGTTCACACAGCAACAGGCTAACCCCTTAAACCCTGTTAAAAACCCCAAATCAACCGCAAAACACCATAGTCGGAGGAGAGCGATGCAAGGCCATAACCTCCGCCGAGCAGTCCACACTCTAACGTCTTCACTCTCTCTCCTCCACTCTCTTCGCCGTCGACCCCTTCTTTCTCTCTCCTCTTTCTCCATTCACAAACCTTACTCATTTTCCTCTTCTTCTAACCCCACTTCATTTATCAAAGATAATTGCTTAAATTTCCCCAAATATGTTGTTACTGGGGCAATTAATAATACCCATGTTCCCAATTTGTGCAAAAATGATGTGAATAATGATCAATTGGATGATCATGAAGTGGGGTTTGAAGAAGAAGAAGTTTCTGGGCATAAATTGACGGAGACGGATGTTTATGCTGCAGTTGAATTAGCTCTTGATTCCGTGATTAAGATTTTTACTGTTGCTAGTAGTCCTAATTATTTTCTTCCTTGGCAAAATAAATTGCAGCGCGAAACTATGGGTTCTGGTAAATTCACCCCCTTTTTCATTGAATTGTTATTCCATTTTATGTTTATTAATTCATTTTTGTTAAATAATTGTGGGTTTCAATTATTTTCATGTTTGAATTTGGTAACTGTTATGAACTTATGATTGTTAACAGCAGTTTGGGCTGTAGTATTTTGATAAATCTGTTGGAGCTTAATAGGGAAGAAATTTTGTAATTGAAAGTCTTGGAACAGTAATGTGATCACTATGCATTTATGAAATATTTAACCTGATCGAAAGACGACATATTAACTCATAGTTTTGCTGGGTTATGGAGAGGAAAGGGTGGGAGAGAGTGTTGAGTCTGTTGGTAGTGACTAGTGAGAAGTAAAATGGGAAAAATTAGAGAGTTGTGGAAGTAAAATAGATGATCAATCGCGTTCAATGCACGTTTCAAACTTATTGTTCCACTGATGGAATGTTATCGAGGTTTTGGGGAAGTATTACATTAAACTTAATTTGATTGCTTAACTGCTATATATTTTAAATTCAGTCATATATGAAGAAATAAACTTTGTTGATGGTATTGCTTTTTTGAAGGGTTTGTGATTTCTGGAAAAAAGATCCTGACTAATGCTCACGTGGTGGCGGATCACACGTTTGTGCTCGTTAGGAAGCATGGATGTCCTACTAAGTATAGAGCAGAAGTATTGGCAGTTGGACATGAATGTGATTTGGCTGTCCTAGTTGTTGAAAATGAAGAGTTTTGGCAGGGTGTAAACCATTTAGAACTTGGAGAGATTCCGTTTTTGCAAGAAGCTGTTGCTGTTGTTGGATATCCCCAAGGTAATGCTACATGGTAAATCTGTTTGGATTTTCATATTATGAAGTATTGTAGTAGATAGATGTCTGTTGCATACTTCAATCTCATCGAATACATATAAATTGTGTCTTCCACACACAAGTCACAAAATATTAGTGCACGTGCAATCTATGGTCTGGGATGAAGACTTGGACTTTTCTTGTTTATTTACAACCGTTAAGGCTTACAAGCAATGAGGAGAACTGAGCTATAGCCTGCATACATGTTGAATTTTTAAATGATTTATTATATTGGCTTGACCTAGGCAGCTGATAGCATTTTATACTCATCTACAGGAGGTGATAATATATCTGTAACAAAAGGTGTTGTTTCCAGAGTTGAGCCAACACAATATGTTCATGGAGCTACTCAACTCTTGGCAATACAAATTGATGCAGCAATTAATCCGGGTAATAGTGGAGGCCCGGCAATCATGGGAGATAAAGTTGCTGGAGTAGCTTTCCAGAACCTTTCAGGTGCAGAAAATATCGGGTGAGTATGCTGTGTGATTTCAATACGTATCTAGCTCTTGGACAAAGAAAATCACTTCAGCTAGGTGAGAGTGCTGATGTGGGAAATTGTTCTTTCTTTTGCCCCTTGCCTAGCACTTGTTAGTAACTCTGTTCTTACTTAAGTACTGCTTCAGCAAATCAATTTATTGACAAGTTGAATTATTCTACTATAATTTTCAATGGTTAAATATACGTAGTTACTAAGTTTTGTTTTACTTATTATATAGATAGAGGTAATGTAGCTGATTGGGCTTAAATAATTAGTTCTTGTTCATGACACACACATGTAAGTAGATGGGTTACAAAGTGAAAACTTTCTTTCGGCTTCATCCGTACACAAATATCCACACTATTATTATTGCATGATTTTACAGTCATAGCCTTCATACGTGTCATAAACAAGTGGGGTTCTGATGGTATCTTGGGTAGCTTAAAATACAATCTTCTAATATTTTGAGAATGCTATAACTCTTCCAGAGCATTTCGTATATGTGACTATTACTGAATGGGTAGAGTAGTATCCCAACCAAATCATATATAATGAAAGCACATAGATAATGTAAGCATCTCCTATGTTGTTCTTTTACTTATATGTGCATAATCTGTTGCAGTTACATAATTCCCGTGCCTGTGATAAAGCATTTTATAGCTGGTATCGAAGAATGTGGTAAGTATGTGGGATTCTGTTCTTTAGGTTTGTCATGCCAAGCAATGGAAAATCAGCAGCTCCGAGAGCACTTTGGGATGGACAATGGAATGACTGGGGTGCTTGTGAGTAAAATTAACCCAATATCGGAAGCTCACAAGATTTTGAAGAGAGATGATGTTATTCTTGCGTTTGATGGTGTGGCTATTGCCAATGATGGGACAGGTACTTGTTCTCTGCAACTTTGTGATATTGTAAATCAAGAAAGCTTGTGCTTTGACTATTTATGTGTGATAGCCAGCAAAGAACTTTTGTATAAGGGATTCCCATAAAAGTAGCGAAGTATTGTATATTATTTTTTTCACTTATATTGGTGAATGAGATATCAATTTGTTTCAGCATGTTGTGTAATTACGAGTGAAAAGGAAGGTGTGTATATAACTTCTTCTTGCCTGTTTCCTATTAACAAGTCTTTTGAAAACTTTATTATTTTCTTTTGCGCTGGCATAGTGGCATGTAGAGTGCTTGCTGTTTTTCCTTTTCTGATATCCTGAAGTGATTACTACAATGGTAGTTCCTTTCAGGAATCGAGAGCGAATAACTTTTGATCATCTGGTCTCCATGAAGAAACCAAATGAGAAAGCTGAGCTGAAGGTGTTAAGGGACGGCAAAGAGTGCAACTTTTTGATAAATGTTCATCCTGTAAGTCAGAACCTTTTTTGTATTTTAACTTTTTTTTTTTATGATATGCTCTTAATATATGAATGACGGCAATGACCACACCTATGAAGAGCAGAACCTCACACAAATTCATGCAATTGTATACATGCACACTTGAACTCAAAGGGGATAGATCAGTCACTACTAGATACTTATGATCTAGTTGGGTTGCTTTAATGACCTAAAAAAAATATTATGATGGAGCAGGCCCTTAACCTCATGAACCCAAAGAATGCCATATACCTTTATTTAGAGAACTAGTGATTGGGTTGTGGTTTTGGTATTGTGCCTCTGGTGTTGTTGTGAACTTGTTTGAATTTATACGTTTTTTTGCATTTATCATGGCAACAATTCTCTACAGATGATATTTACATTGGCTTAAAATTCTCTTGCAGTTGCAACCATTGGTTCCTGTCCATCAATTTGATAAGCTGCCTAGTTACTACATATTTGCTGGTCTTCTTTTCATCCCTCTGTCCCAGCCATACCTCCATGAGTATGGAGAAGAATGGTATAATGCCTCTCCACGTAGATTGTGTGAACGTGCACTCAGAGAACAACCCAAGAAGGCTGGTGAACAGCTAGTCATATTATCGCAGGTATCTTTTTACAAGAGACAAATTTCATATGTAAGCATTAAACTGTTTTTGAATGCGTCAGTGAGCCCTTCTTGGATACACTACAGTTTTTTCTTATTCATCTCTGCATTCCTCCCCCTTTCTTCTGTCTTCCAGCAAGATCTTTTTGAAGTTTGGTGGGTTTAGGCCTAATTATATCTATTACCTGAATATACATCGGCAGATTGCACTACTGCAAAATCCACCATTTACCTAGTATTGTTTGAAGGCAAAATTTAATATTCTAGGTAAGTGAGATTGAGAATCGGTGAGGAAACTGTGTATCTGACCTTGAAGATAAACTTGTGATAGCTTTTCTGAAGAAATTATCTAGCTTTTTTAGTGGTATTTAGAAGAGACTGCTGGTATCGCATGCCCTTTGTTCTTGCTGTATCTCATCTTTCAGTCATTGCAAAATCTAGCTTTCTGACAAGTTGACCATTCAAATCTTTCTGGTTATATCATAGTAAATCAAAGGAAACCAAACTAAAACACAATTGGCCAAGCTTTCACAAAACTGTGAGCTACCCAACCCACTCTTTTCCTTGTGCCCCCCTCTTTTGTATCTACATTGGGTTCTGCTGTAAATTTACTACTTTGAGTAACTATTATTTAATGGTTTGCTGCTGATACCTTCTATTTCAGGTTCTGATGGATGATATTAATGCAGGATATGAGCGTCTTGCAGAATTGCAGGTACTTTGAGAAACTTTTTATGAAAAGATTTATCTTATATTTGATGCTTCTAGCCCGCAATTTCCAAAATGATTGTGAACTTTCTCTGACATGATGTTAGTGATTTCTCCTTGCAAATACTCTAATACTGTCTTCGTTCCAGATTAAGTGGGAATTCTGACTAGAAATTTATCACTCTATTAGCTACTCCATGACATGGGAGTTGCATTCTGTAGTCCTTATAAAGTTGACATCATTGAAGTCAGCTAAAAGGAGTTAAGGCTAGTATTAGACGACTGAAGACCATGTATATACATTTCACTTCACATTAGTGACCTACTAGATGTACTTCAGATATTGCCTTGTGCGACCCCCAAGGTTTCGATTGGCCATTAAGGGGCATTCATTCTTGGAACTTTATAGACCTATTGATAGGCTTCGTATCCAACCAACTTATATGACATTAGAGGACACCCAACACACTCACTTCAATTATGGAAAAAATTCCAAAACTGCCCGAAAGCGTGGACGTGGATTATAGTCTTTAATTTTGGACGATTTTTGGCCTTTTTTTTGACCCGGAGAGGAAGTAGGTTGGGGTGCTTCTCACAGACCCCAAGACCCCCCCCCCCCCCCAGTGTACTTATGCTCCCTTTATTTGCTAAAGGCCACGACAGAACTTTATATGACTTAGTAGTGGTCATATATGGTTTCCAACAATATAATATGACCCCAATATCCATCCCATACAATCTTGACATTTTTCGACATCGGGTCCCAAAACCTCTAAATTTGTCCCAAAACCTTCAATTTTGGACAATTTTAGATTTTTCCGGACTCGGAAAGAAAAATGGTTGAGGTTCTTTTCATAGATCCCCCGACATTCTAGGAGGCCATTAGGGTGGTTGAAGTTATCCACTTTGCCTTTAAACCGTCACTTTAGCCTTTTTCATACGCGCCTCCTTTAATTAACTAAAGGCTACCACGACTTTTATGTGGCCAATTACTAGGCATATATGGTTTCAAACAACATTATATGACTATGGGATGCGTTCGCTACAATCCCGAGATTTTTCAACACTGGGTCTTGAACCTCCAAAATTGGTCCAAAAGCGTTAATTAGTCTTTAGTTTTGAACACTTTTAGACCTTTTTTTGGATCTTGAAATGAAACAAGCGAGGGTATTTCCCATGGACCTCACAAGTCACAACACCCCGGTTTTTAGCTGATGTCTTTTGAGTGATATCACATATGCTTAGATCTACTTTAGTTCAGCTTCAACTTTTGTGGGGATATTGAAATGAAGAAGGCAGGGAGAAATAAACTTGTTGAATGCTTGGGCATTATTTTTTCCTTCTGATGACCATAAACAAAGATTAGTTTTACAGGCTAAAAGAACATAGCCACCTTCCCAAACTATGTTTTTCTTAGTTGATTGCTCTTTTGTTCTTGTACATGCTACGGTGTACATGCAATACCTTTGATTCCTCTCCGTTTCAGTGTCTGACAAAGATGTATGTTGAGCAGGTGAAAAAAGTAAACGGAGTGGAGATTGATAATCTAAAACACTTATGCCAGCTTGTAGAGGAGTGCAAAGAAAAGAACTTGAGGATTGATTTGGATGATGATAGAGTTATTGTATTGGACTACCATAAAGCTAAGCTTGCAACTTCTCGCATTTTGAAGCGACATAGGATCCCTTCTGCTGCATCTAGTGATCTCGTTGAGAGTGAAGAGGAAGAAAATGTTGCTACATCTCAGAACTGATATATTCTTCCCAGTTTTGGCCTATAGGTTTTTGTAGTTCTACGTAATTCAAGAACGCGATAATTCAAATTATTGTACCAATGATATTCATCCTTTCCTAATGAGCTAATGGTGAGGGAACATGCAGAAATATTGGTGAAGCGCCTTGTATCCTAAGGTGCTTAATCAAATATTTGAGGCTGTCAAGGTAATTTGTCTTACGCTTACCTGTATACTACCATACAGAGTACTGTTCTGTTAAGCTTATAGCTTCATTTTTGGCCGAACAGTGAAATTAATATTTCGTGCTTCCTTTGTTTCTTAATACACGCAACAAGTTGACTTTATTATACATTCATTAAAAGTCAACTTATAACAGGGGAAATTATAAGCAGGGGAAAATGCAAACATTAGCAAGTATTTTTTTAAAGTTCCACTATGACTTGAAACCTTATAGTAGATAGTTAGATACCAATAATCCGAAACATAAAAACATTAAATTTAATCGAATCATTATTAAATTTATACATCAATATATATATAATATTGCACAGTACATTTTTTGCTATGTTCTTGTATATTGTATACTATGTTATTCGTATTTCGTATACATATATGCTTTATTTAAGATGATTTATTTTATAATAATCCGTAATTTATATTTTAGAAGTGCAGTGGGAGATTGTTGTTGACCATGTCAATTCAAGGTAGTTTGAAATTCCACAACCAAATTACCATAATTGCACATAAAATACAGTACTAAATATAGATCAACAAAAAATTGTCAATCTACCATTTAAAGACAAAAGAAATTGAGAGGCTTTAGGACAATACAACCGCAAAATTAGAATAAGGAAAAAAAGAGAAAAAAAGAACAAATGTACTAATCTTAGATTGTTAACCATACTTAGAACTTTGATGATGAGAAAATCCAAAATTAGGAAGAATTTGGAAGGCTACCCTTATTATTAGGAATATCTCCATCTTCAATACCTTTAGTATAAAGAAGGTTAATGGCGATATTGAAGCTTGAGCTAACAAGCCTCGAGCAGGCTAATCCTCTTAAACAACATACTAAGCATTATAAAGAAGAAATTTTCATTTCAAAGAATATAATTTAAGGGAGGCCTTAAGATTAATTTATCTTGTTAGCTCTGTAATATATATTTGTACAATATGGGAAAGAGTACAACCGCCTTGTCTTTGTTACCATGGCTACTTTCCATGGTTGTGATGATCGTTCGAGCTGAGGATCCTTACCTGTTCTTCGATTGGAAGGTTACCTATGGTACTCGTTCTCCCCTCGGAGTTCCTCAACAGGTTGTTCTCATTAATGGAGAATTTCCCGGTCCTAACCTTAACACAACCACCAATAACAACATCGTTGTCAATGTGTTCAACCACCTCGATGAGCCTCTCCTATTCCACTGGTTTGTATAGTCTTGTTGCTCATTTGGTTTGCACAATTCACATTATTTTTCCTAAGGCCATATTCACCTCTGCCTATGCAAATACCGCGAATTAATGATACAAGAATGAATGATACCATTACATCTATATATAAGATCCAAATTGAAAATTTTACAAAAAATATATATATTTTTTGACTTGTTTTTCATCTTGTTAAATTTTTTTGGTAGGAGTGGTATTCAACAGAGGAAGAACTCATGGCAAGACGGTACACCCGGAACAATGTGCCCGATTCTACCGGGGACAAACTACACGTACCGGTTCCAGGTTAAGGATCAAATTGGAAGCTACTTCTACTTCCCAACAACCGGCTTCTTAAGGGCAGCAGGAGGATTTGGTGGGCTAAGAGTGAACAGCCGTCTGTTGATTCCTGTCCCATTTGCTGATCCCGAGGATGACTACACCGTCCTTGTAGGAGACTGGTACCAGGACAGCCACACCGCGCTGAGGAAACGCCTTGACAGTGGCAAGTCTCTTGCTAGGCCTGATGGTGTGTTGATGAATGGTAGGCAAGGCAAGGTAGGTGATGCTAAGGAGGAGCCTCTCTTTACCATGAAGCCCGGGAAGACGTATAGGTACCGAATTTGCAATGTTGGAATGAAGAATTCTATCAACTTTAGGTTCCAAGGTCACAACATGAAGCTTGTCGAGGTTGAAGGGTCTCACACTGCTCAAAATGACTACGACTCCCTCGATATCCACCTTGGACAGTGTTACTCTGTGCTTGTCACTGCTGATAAAGATCCTAAGGACTACTACATGATTGCATCCACCAGGTTCGACTTTATAATTTATAACCAACTAACAACTTAGACATTTAACACAGTGTACAATTAAAGTTTCAAACAATTTAAGGGATGCGACGACAGAAAAGTAAAGGCATTGCAACCTTACAATATCTAGCTTGACTCTTAATGTCTCGGTCATTTCAATTTTGGGTCAAGCACTCGAAGTTGTTATAAAATGTGACATGCTAACATTGTTACGTGACCTTAATTTTTGTAGGTTCACCAAGTACCACCTTCAAGCAACAGGCATTGTGCGTTACGAAGGTGGAAAGGGTGCACCTTCAACGGCCCTTCCCGAGGCACCCGTGGGCTGGGCCTGGTCCTTGAACCAGTTCCGATCCTTGAGATGGAACTTGACCGCTAGTGCAGCCAGACCTAACCCACAAGGGTCTTACCACTATGGCCAAATCAACATCACTAGAACCATCAAGTTGGCTACCACTGCTGGCACCGTTGATGGAAAGCTTCGCTATGCCATCAACGGACACTCCCACACTGACGCCGACACCCCATTGAAGCTCCTCGAGTACTACCAAGTCGCGAACAAGGAGTTCAAATACGATGTCATCAAGGACGAGCCACCATCCAACATCGATTCCTTGGAGAAGTTCACCACAGGGCCTAATGTACTAAACGCCACCTTTAGGAACTTTGTCGAGATCATATTCGAAAACCACGAAAAGAGCATCCAGGCCTTCCACTTGGACGGCTACTCCTTTTTCCCTGTCGCGTAAGTACACATACATACATATACACACATATATATCGAGCACAATAATTCGTACACTAAGAAATAAAGCCTAACACATATATTTGTAGTCATACATGTTACATACTAACCTTCTAACAACGAACAATTTTAATAAAGCCTAATAACAATATTAGTACACTCTAGGAAAGCCTAGTAATATATTTGTTGTCATACATGTTATATTATGCTAACAACAATCGTAACATACTATTTTGTAACAAAATGTACAAAAACAGGATTGAAGTAGGCGAATGGACCCCGGAGAAAAGAAAGAACTACAACCTCCTAGACGCGGTGAGCAGGTACACGGTCCAAGTGTACCCCAAGTCATGGGCAGCAATCATGCTAACATTCGACAATGCCGGTATGTGGCAGCTAAGGAACGAGTCCCCGGAGAGGGCATACTTGGGGCAGCAGATGTACGTGAGTGTTTTGTCCCCGGAACGATCGCTAAGGGACGAATACAACCTCCCGGACAACTCCTTATTATGTGGTGTTGTCAAGAACTTGCCAAAGCCTCCACCTTACAGCATCTAAGTTGACAATTTAATAATTCGAATCGTACACAAAAATAGCAATTTTTTTTCCTACAATTTTTTTTTTCCTTAAGAATTTGTTATGGGGTTTAAAATTTTTTCATGGAAGAATTTGTCATTATTAAGATTTTAGTAGAGAAAATTGAAAAAGGAGGTGTCATTATTGAATGGCATCAACTGAGTGAGGCATTCTGTTGTATCTGTATTAGTCTTGGAGTTATTATAACATTGTATCCAAGCAATTTTTTATTTCAATGCCAAAAACACAAAAAAAATTTGTTCAATATTTTTATCTTCCATGAATAAATGCTAAACTTTTTTAATAATTTGTGATATATATATAAATATATATTTTTTATTTTCTATTGATTGGAAATGATCATGGATGTATAAAGTACTCAATTAGTCATCATAGCAATATAATGCTATTTTATTTAATAAAAAAAGCATATCACAAAAACAAGAATCAATTATCATAAAAATCAACACATGTATATTATAACTTTTTTAATAAGAAGTTTTTATTGGCCCTTTCGTTTCACTCTTTATACTCTCATTAGTTTATTTAATTTGTTGAATTTCTAAAAGAAAAAAGGCTTCTTATTAAAAAAAAAAACAAGTGATAATATAAAGAGTGGTTTAGGGCTTCTAAAAACGAGTATTCTAAGTTAAACAATCATGAATATGATTATTATGTTCAAAAGTTACAAATGCTTAATATTTTTTTTTTTTTTTTTTTGACAATAGCAACTGTAACAACAAAAAAACAACTACACATTAGAAATAGTAACACGACACTTTCTTGATATTTCATTAGCCTTTTGAACCTGTTCTCGTGGGACTTTCAGGATTGCACATCTGTTGAAAGTCGCACCCACTTCTTTAATCTCTTTTACCATCCAAGCAATGGCAACGATCTTACCCAATCAATCCTGTAGGTCGTTAATGAGTGAGACATAGTCGAAAAGAAGCAGGATCCCATCCTTACCTTGTGTTTGGGCCCATTTCATAGCTTCGAGACAGGCCCAAGCCTCACATTGAATAACTGATGAGGCAGCCCCACGCTTCCCTCCCTTACTCATAGGATTATCCTGTTCATTCCTTATGACCGCCCAGCCAATTCTTGCCCTAGTGGACCTCTTGTCCCATGACCCATCTACTTCTATAGTGAAGTTATCAAATCCCACCTTCTCCCTTTCCAGTTGCACATAATTGAACCATGGGGGAATAACTGGATCATCCCTGGAATGCTTAAGTTAATTAAAGAGCAAAAATGACACATCTCACGATCTTTTATCACAAATTCACGATGACATGTTCTTTTATATATGTATTTGTTTTCTTTTACGTATGAAGTTGATTTATAGTTATTAGGAAGCATGAAATTTGAGGAGATAAAATTTGTTGTATACAAGTATACAATACACACACTATTTTTTTTTTTAGGTGTATAGAGTCACGAACAGTGTTATGTAAACATGTAGTATCTCCACATAATTTTTTGTATATCAGTATGTTAATTTGTGGTTGGTGCACCCGGGTGCACCATGCGCATGGTGCGCCCAAAAGAACATTTAGTATATTTAAAAGAACATGGGTAAAAAATGAGCATGTTTTTATTTTCTTGCAACTGCAAATCCATCACTCTCTTCTCCTGCAATTTCTCACTCCTCTTTCCCTTCCTATCACTCTCTTTATTGCTGCCAATTTTTACTCTCCTTTACACCATCGTTTTCATTTAAGAATTTCAATGAATTTGGGTAAAAATCATTTCCAAAGTACTCATTTTCTCTCTCCATAAC